ACATAACCTTTCATAAAAAACTTTAAATTTCAGAATAAAAAGGTACTATTCCTCGAAAGTCGCTAATCGTACTTAATGAATTGTAGTTATATGTACAAATGGTATTGTTGAATTAGATATTTAATATATAGATATAGATGTTGCGGAAAGAAGATTTTCGCAGATCTCCGAAACAGGATAGTGCCAATGAAAATTCCCATTTCTCTTTACAAATTTCTTTTTTTCTAAATTAGTAAGTAAAATACGTTTTATATATTTTCTTTTTTGCTTTAAAAATGCAACTTGAACATAAATTCGATAAAAAATAACAAATTTATGAAAACTGTAATGACTCTTAATAAAAGAAGTATTTTTAATCTGAGAAATTACATATTTATGGACAAAATAACATGAGTCTCAACAGTAATATTTCGTTTTATTTCTTTTAAAAAATAAACAATGTTAAACACCATTTTATATTTCCTCTTAATTGAACCTCTTCTATATTATGTAAATTCAGAACCAAGTAAAAAATTAAATGGAAAACGGATGCAATATTATTATCAAATTAAAAACAAATTATAATTTGATAACTGTACTTATCATCGTATTAACAATTTCTAGGACATTATATAAAATAAAAAAGATCATATTGTGATTGAATTCTTTACATTTTCTTATATTTTGATAAATACTTTTAAAGAGGCCATTCTTACGATAGCTAGAATATCTTAAAACCAGTTAAATGATCTTAATTCACTTAAGTTAAGTCACACCAGTTAAGTCTTAATTCACTTGCTATTGTTTTAGTAACTATTCGATTCTATTTTTTCTAAATGGTCTTTCTTATATATACTTGTTATAATTTTATACAAGTGCCTTTCGAATCCTAATGAAATAAATGGTTTTGGAAAATAATCAACTGTACTTGACAAATATTTCAACACAGGAATGCAGAATCTTCGACAAAATAACTAATTTTACTAAAAATTATTTATGTCTACCATTTTAGCTCTAAAAACATAGGAGAATATGGAACCTAAACATTTAAACTAGATATTTCTCTTGAGTAGAGATAAATAAGTTTTTAACAATCACTTATTTATCCTGGGGTCGTTTTTGAAACTGAGAATAAGCTCTAAAACAGAAAAAGAAAGTGCATTTAACGAGAATAAAAAAAATTCATGCAGATAATTAAACACTTAATAATGTAACACATTAACATATTGCGGTAAATGTTTTGTGCACTAAGTTCTATTAAAGGTAAATGCACTAATGAAATAGAAAAACTTACGTTGTAGAAAAAATAATAATAAAAGTAAAATTGGTCTCACCAATGAGCTCATCAGGAATTATTGAATCCCTTCAATACACATCAAAAATATTGGCATCTTTCCTAAATATGCTGTTAACTTTTATAAAGTATTTATTATGTTAAAAATAACATTTTATTTATAACCTAATGCATTTACTATGAAGCCATTGATAGATATAACTGTTTAGAACAAATTTTCTATATTATCATTTGATAATTGGGCTAGACTCCACGCATCCAGTAGTTTTCAAAAAAGTGAAATATATAATACTTTTAGCAGATTTACAAAAAAAATATGCGAATAAAATATCTAGATAGACGATACTTGGAGTTAAGAATCCTGTTTAATATATAATTGAATGTATACATGCAGATACCAATAATTAATCAATGGCACTAAAAAAATTGGAAAATGTTTTCCCTGTAATGAAAAGTGTCTTTCGGTTTCTTTCTTAAACTAAATAACTTTGTGATAATGATAAACATTTCTGTTTTGATCTAATCTATTGATAATTTAGTCAAAATTTCAATAGCCAGTTTCATGTTTCTTTCCACCCAATCTGACCAATCAGGCGACTGAATAATTGCCATTTTGTTCGTTTTGATATAGTTTAATGCAAGCTGTTTTAAGGCTACTTGATTCACTAAATCGGCGACAGAAATCACTTCATAAATGTTTTCCGTGGATATTTTGGATATCAATATTTTTGAACATCTTTCCTTCAAACTATTCACTTGATATTTATCAGCCACTAACAATAGGTTCAAGACATGTTCAAATTCAGTGTTAGAGAATATGTCAGTGTACAGATATTCAACAAAAGAGCGCAGAACTTCACTTTCCACATCAGGAATGTCAACAACGCCGGTTTGATTTTCCTTCATATCTCGTTTAAACATCGCGGAGAAAACAGGAGATCGGGCTGACAATAAGCATTTGTGAACAGGAATCATTTCCTTTCCAGCATGCAAATTTAAATCAGTATGTTCTCTCTCCAAAAGCATCTTCTTTAAATCCTTCTGCAAAGGTAACTGAGGAATATCTAACGGACCAAGTCCGACACATGTATCGATTTCGTAGGAATAGTTTACAAATGTCGATGTTGAAGTACCATCAGAAATATAAATTGTACACACCAATTTAAATGAACACGTGGAACAGACATCACTTTTATCCTCTAACTGGTTTTTCTCAAATGAAGTTTCAAACTCAGATGATTTGAATATATGAGTGGAATTTTTTAAATCTATTTCAATTCCTTCTAGGTTTAATATAGATATTTTGAGCTTCCATAACTCCGTTAATGATTGCTCCCTTGATTTTTCAAATTTTAAATAAATTTTTCCATCAGACGCAGTCAAACTTATGTTAATCGGATATTGTTCTTCGATTGGACATTTAACCTTTTTTACCCAGTCTTGCATTACAGGAACTGTTATCTTCCAGTCGAATGAATGTTTTTTCTTCTGTATTTCGGTTACAGCTTCACATGTAACGGATTGTTGTTTGTAGTTTTGATCAAATAACTGACAACGGACTTCTAACATGTCAGTCTTCCAGCTTTTCATATCATGTTCAAGTTTTCCTCTGCTCAGAAATCTATACAAACCACTCCCACGTTCAGATAGGGACTTTTTTTCCATAGACGCCAGTATTTTACCATTTGGATTGAGTATTTCTAAAGTACAGGATGTTGGAAAACCATTTTCATTTTTCTCGCACTCCTCATTTCTGATTAAGAAACATGAAATAAAGCCAACATCTTTATTGTTAACTCCTTTTGGGTACAGCCTTAAGTACCATTTGGTGTCCTGGAAATCTTCAGTGCTAATCACTGCACTTTTCAATCTCTCCACATTCTTCAATTGACACAGCGAATAATTTACAATTTTCCACGAAAGCGTAAATACTTTTCCAGACAGAGTCGGCATTATGAAACGCTTCTAAAAATATGGTTGTTTGTAATGAGAGCAGAATCATTAAAAGAGCATTCTTTGTTCGAACACTGTTGGAATGCTTATTGTTCAGTGTTTTCAAAAGATTATTTTTCCTATTGCTGACGTCATTTCAGCTGATTATTCAAACGTGATAAAAAGTTTTATCATTTCACGAATTTCCTTCTATCATCGAATGCATTTGATAACAGTTGAGAGTGTTGGATTAATTTTGTTGATTTTGATCAGTCTGAGTTAATAAATACTAAAGAAGCGCTTAAATTTTTTGGCTGCTGGTTTTCTGGTTTCGAAATATTGACTAAAAATACTACATTTCCATCGTTTAGATACAGAGGTGTTTCAAATTAAAACATCAGCACTAAATTCTCATGATTTCTAGACTTTGTTGTTGTTGATGTTAATTTACGTCGCACTAGAGCTGCACAGTGGGTTATTGGCGACGGTCTGGGAAACATCCCGGAGGATGATCCGAAGGCATGCCATCACAATTTTGATCCTCTGTGGAGGGGATGGTACCCCCGCTTCCGTAGCCCGACGACCTGCGCGCGAAGTCAAGCACTTTACGGTAGCACAGTTTAACGAGGACCAATACCGCACACCCTCAGTCCCTACGCAGACTGATCCAAGTGGTCACCCACCCGCACACTGACCGCAGCCAGTGATGCTTGACTTCGGTGATCTGCTGGGAAACGTGTCTTAACGATCAGTCCACTGCGGGACATACACAATGAAGGTAGAATTTTCAAATACCACCGTTTTCATGTCCTTCACTAACTCATGAAATCTGTTTAACAATTTTACTAGGGTTTATATAACGTACTTTTTGATGAACACACAAATCTGAGTTACATTAAATAAGTAAAATTGTTTTAGGTACTTCATTTACGCCACACTAGAGCCGCACATTGGACTATTGGCAACGGTCTGAGAACCATTCTAGAGGATGATCCGAAGGCATGCCATCACAATTTCGATCCTCTGCAGAGGGGATCGCTCCCCTGCTTTTGTAACCCTCCAACATGCACCCGAAATTGAACACTTTACTGCAGAACAGCTTAACGAGGACCGATACCATGCACCCTCGGTCCCTACGCAGGCTGATCAAAGTAGTCACCCACCAGCTCATTGACAGCAGCCAGTGATGTTTGACTTCGGTGTTCTACCGGAAGACGTGTCCTTACGATCGGCGTCCTGCGGGACGTAAAATTATTTTACGTACAATTGCACGCGTTAGTGTGTATAATACAAAGAATTGCAGTTTAGGTTGCAGAAAGAGGTAAGTCGAAAAAACACCAAGCAGAACATAAAAAGAAACATTATAAATTCGTTTAATTATACTGAAGCAATATCATTAAATCTGGAAAAACATTATTACAACTGGAACAACATTATTAAAACTGAAAACCCTAAAGGATAATTCGAAAACAGCTATATGGGGTAACTTTGAAAGAAATTGAAAATACTGAAGGAAAACAAAATTTAACCAAATTAAATTATGAACGTCCGAAGCTATTTGCATTAAACCATTGGGCATCTTGTTGTAAACATAATAATGTGCAATTTTTATTAATTTTGCTAATAAACTATTGTTTAGTTTTTACTTAAATAAGTTATTAAAAAGATGTGCTTTTTTCCATAAAAGTTAAAACCCACGCAAATACTTTTTTCAAAATTAAGGATTTCGCATTTTTAAATTCTTTTACCATTTTTTTTATAGTGACATTGAATGAAACAAAATTAACAATAGACAAAGGAGTTACGAATTTTTATTTGTGATGAAATTTGAAAATGATTTATGTTCAAAAATATTTTTTGAAACACATGTGCATGCATTACTTATGCAACTTAGATTAACAACAGATAAAATTAAATTTAAATCATCAAATACTGTATGGAAATTGCTGGCGTATTCATTTTATTTTTGATGAAATTGCAAATAAACGAAGTAAGGTAAGAAATATAACTTTAAATTAGCTCCATAAAAATATAACTTCGTTCCTTAATATTTTGAAATAAGCACAAGAAATATAATCAAAATTATATACTGTTATGAAAGTACAAATTACATAAAAAGTATATTTTTATCTAACATTTTGAAAAATACGTAACTAAAAATTTCATTATCACAGAAATAGAGCCAATTTCACCATCTGTGCCAAGGCAGCTCTTTCTTATAATTTCAGGAATCTTTCTCTGAAAAAGACAAGATTTTTTAAATGAATTACTTCTTTTATAATTTTAAGATTAGAAATGGGTAAGTATCCATTTTTTGGTATCAGTTTCAAAGTGACACTGGAACATTTAAGTACAAAAAAAACTTATTATAAAAACTTCTCACTCTTTTAGTATCAGGTACAGAAAACTCATAAAGTAAAATCTTCATAGTTTTTTCAGTAGTTGAGCTAAATGTACTATGATACAAAATGAATTATTATAAAATGTATTTTGACATGCTTTCGTTTCAAATACTAGGTACTTTGAAATAAAGAGTACAATCCCATCTCTAATTGACAAATGGTACACTAAGTTATTCGTAATAACTAAAAACATGGAATCACATTTGTTTACCGAGTGAAAAAGAGTTGAAAATATTGGCGTTATTATGAAATTCATGTTTGGTTTTCTTCAATTTTGAATGATTTTTAACATTTAAAAGAATTTAATTTCATGCAAATATATTAAGTTGACTATTAAGTTGACTGATAAGCTGATTTAAGTTTAAACTATTAAGTTGAAATAATTAAAATAATTTAAAAATAAATATAATTATTCGAATGAATTAAATTTTATGCGAATATATATAACTGAGTTGACTAATAAAAAGAACGGAGTCGAAAAAACTGATGTTAACGCTAAATATAACACTTGCCGGCAACATGTCTAAATACTTGGATATATTTAGTCTCAAAAATGTTGTCGACTCTACCATATGAATTTCAATAATTTTTTCTGTAATGAACTACTTTTTACTCTCAACTAAACTTTGAATATAATTATTATTGAGGTTATTTGCTATTATCTCGTATCATTAAGATAAATTTTCTCTCAATGTGGTTAGTCGGCAAGTTTTATACAATGTTCCATTTTAGTACATTTTCTTCTTTGGTATAATTTCATCTCAGGTATTAATTCCTTATTAACTAATATTAAAATAATTTATAATCTATTCAAGCACACCATGAAATATGATTCTATAGAGGATACGACACCAACCAACCAATAATTTATAATATATAAATTAATAAAAAATGAATAATTATAAATTTCCGAAAGTCAGTTCATAGTGTTCTTGTCACGTATTATAATGTTGAAAATTTTGTGCTTAATCTAAAATAAGACATAATAATACATAATTTATAGGACATAATTTATAAATCTTGCAGCGGGGTGCATCTAAGTCTATGTAAGTCACTGGTTGAAAAAGAGATTACCTCAAGATTGATCAGCAAGCAAATTTTTTGTAAAAACGCGAAATCTCATATGCTTAGAGGGGGAAACAGAAAGGAGTTGAAAAGGTGATTTCGTGTTTTTTACAAACAGTTTGTTTGCTTGAGGAATCTTGAGGTGTATCTAATAATCACCTTTTTAAATCCTCTCTGTTTCCTCCAATAACCATACGAGATTTCATGTTTTTACAAACAGTTTGTAGGTCAGAATAGCTGGCCGTTGGGGCGCTGTGCCCATGTCCAACAGTTGATGGGTTCGAATCCCCCCGGCCGATGACTTCCCATGTAATTGGTGACTGATGCACGTAAAAATTTCGTGGAGTCGCGAAGTCCTCCATGTTTCCATACAAATCAATACCTCTGGGGGGTACTGGATCGATTGTTCGCTGATTTAGGTTGACATTACGATCTGTGGATGAATGAATGGATGTATGAATGGATCCGCCTTATGAACAGGTGTGACGTATGGTATGGCAGAAATCAAATTCTTGGCCGTAAATGGCGCCACTGAAATACAAGAAACGCCCTCTCTGTCTTAAATTTGCTCGGTTTGGTAAAACCTGTGCGGCAAGTAGCATTAGAAACAATATCAACAAACAGTTTGTGATTATGATCCTGTTTTCGTCATCTACTTCAATCTATATCACTCACAAAACAAAATTTTTCATTAATATTGTTCACCCTCCTCACTTTTTGCCCGAAAATAATTTTGACCCCTTATATGTAGATATTCTTGGTTTCATTTTCGGCATACATTGTAAAAATATATGAAACGTATAAAATTTATAATAGCACTAAAAACACATAAAAATATAAAAAAAATATATAGTAGGAGTGCACTAAGGACACCCTGTATAATTTAATAAGAATTGAAATTGCATTTGTGAAGTAAAATATTAAAAATATAAAGTGGTATTTTTATAAAATGTTTTAGTACAAGCTGATTTTGAGTCCCTTGTTCAAGTCAAAGAGAAATAAAGCATTATTCAGCAATCAAAGCACTATTATTTCTTAATTACCTTTGCTGTCAGAGCCATGTGTAGAAGTGATAAAAATGTATATCCTGCTTTTTTTTATCATTTCTACTTATTGGGGTTATTTTGCCAGTTTAAAATATTGTTCTAAATTCTAATTTTCTACTGTGTAGATCACGTTAAGTTAAAAAAAAAAGAAGGCCTGCAAATTAATTATTTCAAAAAAAAAAATTTCAAAAAGAACATTTTTAAAAATAAAAATTAATTTTTGTCACTAAAATTGAATGGTCTAAGAAATTTTCGTGTGCTATTATGAGAAATTCTTTTGTTCTGTTGTTACTATCCAGTGAAGAGAAGAAAGCACTTCTCTTCACTGGACTTTGTTCTCATCAAAAAGAATAAACAAATAACTAACCAAAGCTTTTTAAAAGAAACGCTTGTTTCCACATTGTTGCTTAGTTTAATACATTATCACTTTCGATAAAATTTCATTTGCCAATTTCGAAATTTATAACTGAATTAATAACTGAATGGATAGTTTTTCATTGATCCTAAAGTCTTTAATCGAAGTAACTGACTACTGTTAGCACAACAGGTAGACAGAAAAGCTCTTTCCGTCATTCGTAACATAAAGTGTATGAGGATCGTTTTTTAGCAGTCTTGTAATCGAAATTGATGAAATTAAAAACTGAATCGATAACTTTCGATAGTTCCTAAAAGCCTTAATTGTAGTTAACTGACTATTGCTAGCACATTTCGTAAACGAAAACACTCCCTCAGCCACATACGACATAAAATAAATACTTTAAATCATTTAATATAAATAAATAATCTTTCAAAAACTCCTCATGTTCAAAATATGGAACTTATAACTACTTATCAATGGAACAAAAGTATTTATCGTTTTTGTGCTGTAATTCTCTATTTTTAACGTTTTTTTACCCTCATGTGATATCTCAGATAAAGATATACAAGATTTTGTGATTTCTTTTTAAATCTTTTTTTTTTCTCTGATTTTCTTTGAATAAGCCTTATTGCAGAAAAACTGTAGATTAATGTTTTTGAACTATGATAAAATGCTTAGTTTAGTGGTTTAAAATATTTTTTTAAAAAACTTATTCTTTGGCAAAAGGAAAGGCTAGTAGTATTTGGCCCATGCATAAATAAAATTGCGTAAAGTAAGCTGAATTACGGTCTTTGAAAAAAAAACTGTTATAAACTGGGTGAATGCTAATCAAGGAAGAAAAATTTCTTTTAATTTTTGGATTTTTGACTTTCGATTTTTTTTTTGAAATTTAATATTAGGTGAGAAATACTGATGTAATCATTTGCAAATACATATTTTTTCAGCAATTTATTCAGTATATTGTTAATGGAAAAATATATATATCTATTTTAAAATTTGTCATTTCTTTTTTATTGATATTTTACTTAATTTCAATTAACTAATTCAAATATTTTTTTAATAAATAAACGCTTATAGGTTAGATATAAACCTACTACAAGTTTCATAGCAAGTTTTAAAAGTTTAAAAAAAAAAGAAAAAAAAAAGAAAAACTGACAAACTGATTTTTCAGCGGAATACATTCAGAGAATCCCTGGGTTATTTCATCTATATTAGAAAAAACAACAAATTTGACGTTGAGCCATAATGTCTGTATATAGAACCACAATACGATGCTATTAGCTTAAAAGATTAAGCTCGGCCGTGAAGTTCCCTCCTAAGGTTTTAATTAGTTTCCTCTTCTAAAGAAGATACTAACATTTTTCAGCACAGTCTGTTTACGTCTTCAGACAATATTTGGATCAGGTAAGGTTGTAACGCTTTCGGTCTAGTTTATTATAGAGAAATAATTAGTCGTGACGCGTTTGAATTATGTGCCCAGACACAGTCCGTTTGTAAGGCCATATTCATTAATAAGGTGCTCAGTTGAGCTCGATTTCTATTCAGGTTTATCTACAGTATAAAAAGGATAAACCTAAATATGAAAATGTGGTTTTACGAAGCACCATATTACGTTGCAGAAAATTTGAAGGGTTCATGGTTTAACGCTATAATATCATTCAATTTAAAAAAGCACAACTTTTAAAAGTGCATGAGGTAAAAATTGATTGTTTGTCTGACTGTTACGGATGCATAATTATACCATATATCTTACACCGCTTATCCATATTATTAGTGAATGAAAATTGATTCACTGATATTTTGAAGCATGAGAAAGACCACTTTTAACGTTAGAGCACTTTATTATGAAAAATTCGAGTGGTGTGAAAACCAATTGTTATTAGGCTTAGTATTTAGTATGTTATTTTCATGAAATATGGTTCTCGGATATTTTGAGGCATGAAGCTGGGCCACTTTCAACATTGGAGCATTCAATTCTGAAAAGTTTGCATTGTATCTGTGAAAAACTGATTTTTCTCTAAGGGTTAGCAATCAAGTGTCATTTCAATGAAATTTGGTTTACTGATATTATAAAGCACGAGGAAGATCAATCAATATTAGAATATATCATTCTAAACGTTCGAGTGGTATTTGTGAAAGTGCGATTTTTTTAATGATGAAAAAAAATTCAACATCCCGATTGCAGAATAACTTCAGGAATAAATCTTTGTATAGATGCTGATAATTTTTGTGTAAACTTATGATTGAGAAAAAGCTTGATTGTTAGGAATAAAGAAATGTTTCTAATATTTCTATTAATATATGAAAAGTGCCCTATAAAACGTGTTTTGTCTGATAAGATATAATTACAATAACTTAATTATTAGATAGGCTGTATAATTATTAACTTAAATTTCTGTAAATGTAAAAAATGACTTACTTTAGTGAAATTTGCATTGCGTTTCGGTTCAAACATCAATCAACTTCGACAAAACTTCGACTGCCAATTTCAAGTTCTTTCCCACCCACTCTGACCAAGCAGGTGAGGAAACAATCTTCTTTTTGTTTTCTTTTATAAAATTTATTGCACACAATTTCAAATTCGATTGATTGACCATATCAGAAACAGAAACCACTTCACAGACGTTCTCCAACGACAGTTTGGACATCAGTATTAATGAGCATCGTTTCATCAAGTAATCCACTTGATATTTCTCAGCCACAAACATCAGTTTCAACAATTTCTCATAATCAGTGTTGGTGATCGTGTCAGTGTACAGAAACTCTAAAAATGATTGCAGAGTATCACTTTCCACATCAGGAATATTAACTACTCCAGTCTGAGTTTCCAACATATCTTGATCGAACATGGTAGCGAACACGGGAGATCGGGCTGACAGCAAGCATTTGTGAGCTGCTATGATTTTATCACGTGTCTTCAATTTTACGTCGCTATGCTTGTCATTCAATAACATTTTCTTAAGATCTTTTTGCAGAGTTAAAGGAGAAGCCTTTAAACTTGGAGAGGAATCATCCTGCTTCCCACTGTCAGCGATTGAATCAGAATTTCCATCAGAAGTTGTAATGGAACATACCAGAGTGAACGAATACGGTAAGTGAAAGCATGATTTGTCCACAAGTTGGCTTTTTTCAATCCAGATCTCAAATTTCTGGTTTTCGACGGCTTTTTTTGGCAATTCACAATCTACTTTACGATTTTCATCACTTAATATTGATATATTCATTTTATAAGGTTGTAACAAATCCACTTTTTCAATTTTTATGTTGATTCTTTCATCGGAAGCTTGAATAATTATATCTATATGAGTACATTCATGAAATGGAACTTTTTATTTCATCGTCCAATTTTCAGGACCAGGAATGCTTATTTTCCACTGCGTAAGGATTACAGTCGAAATTTCCACCGTCATTGCTTGTTTTTCGTAGTTTGCTTCAATTATGTGGCAGCGGAAAATTAATGTCGGACGCCGGATTCTCGTAAATTTCCTATACTGTTCATAGGAACAGTCTAGAAAACTGTCAACTTCACTGCCAGTTCTTTTTGAAAAAGGGATATTTTCCTTTACGACTGATTTGAAAATCTTCTCATATCTATCAATCAGTTCTAATTTATATGTTACTGATATATCTTCCGATTTGTCGTCGTCATATAGCCTGCATAGACAACACGTAAAACAACCTGGAAGTGATGATTGATATCGGTACACTCTTAAATACCATTTAGTTCCCTTCAATGTTTTAGCCTCAACTACGGGACTCGTTTTCTCGAAGTCACTCGTTCGATTAAATATATACTCGGCGTGGCGAATTTTCAAGTCTAACTTGAATACTTCTTCAGTTTTGTTCGACATGATTCAAATTTAACATGAAAATTCACCGTTCTCCTCTGTGATAAATACTTTTTATTCCAGGCATATAAATCTAAACGCAATTTTCCGTTCGTGAACTGTTAATTTCTTCTTATCTGTTGACGTAGTTACTCATATCGTGTAATGCATGCACGTGATATGATATTCACATTCTCAGAGATGCTTTTTTTATCAGTTTTTTGAAACTAATATCTGCTTTATACAACAATATACTCGGTGGAAAAGTTTCATTTTAAGATCCTTTATAATGATGTCACACTTGAAGGGAAGAGATTGGGTTTTTAAAATTGTCACAGTTTGTGACAGGGGCAAAGCGAATACATATTTTTGGGAGGGGGAAATTATCACTTTGCCGAATAAAACTCCTAATTTGCTTGAGCCATGTATACGCATGCATTTCATTCTCTTCGATTAAAAATTATTTTGTTGCTAACATTTTGACTTACTATATTCTACTAATTTATTACAGGTCTAACGATTTCATGCATAGTTATTCCAGTAAATGAGCCTTGATTGTTCAGTAAATCTGGCACTAAACTGTTGTGAAGAACTAGGGTTCGATTCTCAGGCCCATCAGATTGAAAGGTATCAGCTTGCCCAGGAAGTAAAGGCGGCAAAAACATTTCTATATTTGAAATTATCTTTAATCATTTCTCCAGTATTGCATAAAATAATAGAATGTATCATTTAACGTTCGTGTTATGACAGTATGAAGCAAGGTTGGTAATAATTTTCTGAGAAATTAGTGCCAGTGGCAATAACTTATATCTTAAATATTGAATGATAATCAAAAGTATGATACCTCTCTCAAGTGAAACATTGTTAATAGAGTCCATCAATCATGGAAATTTTTCATGTATTTGAAAATTAAGATAACTTTCTCCAATATATAATTTAATTCAAACTTTTTTTCCTTAACTTCATGCTGCATTCGTCTATTAAACTAATCGAACTGTATCCACCTATTCTCTGTTGCATCTTTTGAATTTTTCATTTTCATAAAAGATGTGCGAAGTGGTTTTTGAAGAGTAGCCGTTTGGTATGTCTCAATTTCTGATGAAACTGGCACATTTTTAAGGGGAAATTAGAGCTCCATGCAATTGACAGATGGGCTTTTCAATAGAAAGGAGGGAATTAGATTTGTTGAAGAAAGTGTGAGAAATAGATACTTAGAACAATACTTAAGCGTTCTCTTTTTTTTTCAGAAGAAAAAGCAAATTAAGTTGGAATTTTATTTTTGTTTTTGCAATAAAATGAGAAAAAAAATAAATTTTCGTAAATATGCCGAATGGCCTAGCAGATTTTGCTGAATTATTCTGCTCTAAAGCTGCACAATGAGTTTTGTTTCATTTTATAACCGTTGTTGAACGGTAGTTCAAGTTTTGAGTTTAGGTCTACCAATCTTCAACTCCGTAGTCTTGTAATTTTGAGGCCACTGCAGATGACAAGAGAACTCTTGGGTCAAGTCTTGGGAGAAACTAGAATTCGTGGTGGACTTTTTGATGGAACTAATCCTCATTTGCTTTACATCTAGAGGGAAACCAGGAAAAATCTCGCACTGTTAGCCTGATGGCAAGGAGAGACCGAGTATATTTCACATCAACAATGTGGTCGATGTGAGCTGGGAGCGGAATTCGTATCAACGAGCCTTCGCCAGGATTCGATCCCCAATCATCTTATTGAGGCTAGCTCAATGGACTACCACGGCTAGCTCAATGGACCATTGGTGATGATTGGGAAAACATCCATGAGGATGATCCGAAGACATGCCGTCACAATTTTGAGATGGCTCCCCCGCTTTGGTAGCCCAATGACATGTACGTGAAGTTGAGCACTTTATGGTAGAACAGGTTAACGAAGCCCGATATCGCACATCCTCGGTCCCTTTTCAAGCAGATCAAAATGATCACCCACCCGCAGATTGTGATGCTTGACTTCGGTGTTCTACTGGGAAGGAAAAGGAGAGATGACAAGAAGTGTGACATACACATATTGATTTCTGCAGATTAAATATTTTTACATAATCCTATTTTATATTTCTTTCGTCATTTTTATTGGAATAAGTACACACCTTCCCATTATTGTTGTTTCACTTAGAAAGTAGATTAAAATACACATTTCAAAATTTGAAAAGCAAAATTTAAAAAATGATCTATGACAAGAATTTTGTTTCTAAATTGCTGGTACATTTTTGTGTAGACGGTCATGTCATAAGGGGGATTGAGAAAGGTTAAATTTGACTCTTTGTGTCTAAGATTAGGACAAGATCAAAAATATTGAAAAAAAAGTGTTTGTTATAAAAAAAAAGGATACTGTTTAATTTAAAGCATCATTAATTTAAAAGATTATTTAAATCCTAACTTTTGAAAAAACTTTTTGTTAAAATTTAATGTTTATTAAATTTGAAAAAAGAACGTTTAGTTCAAACTTGTCTATTTCCAATAAATTAATGATCTCTATTTTTAAGTTCCTCACTAAGGCACTGAAATAATTTTCACTCCCTGGAGGAGCTGTATTTGTTTTGAAGCGCGTAAATTGCAGGAATTTTGGTGAATTTTACCAAAAATAACACTTGTAGTAGAGTTTGAGAAGGCGCAGAAAACGATCAGTTTAATAACTTCATTTAGTAAATTGTTCAACATCGACCTCAACTGCTGGCATGACACCCTTTATTCCGAAAAAATCGGAGATTTGGCCTGGGCTGTACTCCATGCGCTTGGTCCCATTTAACTCGCACTTCTTTGCACTTGTCAAAAGACAACACAACAGTAAACTGTTGTTATATTTGTTTAATGTCGGTTTATAGTTTCTTTCCCTTGATTTTCACAATTGGCGAACTATTACTAGCAAGCTAGAAATAGCCACAAATGTATGTTGTCGGTCAGGAGAACAAAACCCCTTAAAAAAATAACCAACCCATGGGCTAAATTTACAACTTTCATCATGAATTATATCTATTTCCTAGTAACACACGTTTTGGATTAGATGCGCACTATATTGATCTTAGTTGTCATAGTTTAAAATTAACTTCAGCAGAAAAGCATAACAAAAGAAACAGTTTTATTTATAATATTTTTTATTACATTATTTTACGTTGTGGAAGAAAAAATAATTACGTCTATAAGCATCTATTTAAACAAAGTGAATCTTAATAGCTTACCCTTTAATATTTTTATTTTGAAAACTAATTTCAATGAAAGCTTGATAAAACATGGTTCATTTAACTTCTTTTGAAAAGGCGTTGAATCTTTTTTATTTTTTTTCCAAGTTCTTTCGTCACATTCCGTTAATTTTATTTTATCCATTGTTGAAAAAAAAGTTTAAGAGAAAGAGATCATCCTTAACTCTTCTAATTGTTCTGATTGCAACGCCAACTAACATTCCAGAAGATCTAGAAAACTATTTGAAAAAAACGTGAATAAAAAAGTTCAAAATACTTTGCATATGGTATACTATTCATTCTTTACATAACTGTTTTTTTAATCCCTAATTATGATAATAATTAATGAAGAAATTTTAAATCTCCTTTCATTTGAAATCCATTGTTTCTTTTTCTTAAATAATCGTAAAGAGTAGTTTTAAGTTAGCCTTTTTAAGCCATAAGAGGTGAGTTAAGGAAGCCATTTTTAAATTAATATTGCCAATAAACTATCGTTTAGTATTTACTTAAATGAGTTATTAAAAAGATGGGATTTTTTCCATAAAGGTTTTAAACCACACAAATACTTTTTACAAAATTGAAGATTTCTCAGTCTTAAGTTCCTTTACCTACCTTTTTTATATCGAGACAATAAATGAAACAAAATTAACAATAGAAAAAGGAATTATGAATTTTTATTTGTGATGAAACTTGAAAATAATTTATGTTTAAAAATATTTTTCGAAACGCATGTGCACGTGCATTACTTACAGTTACGAGATATGCTACTAAGATACTTAAATAACGTCAGATAAAATTAAATTCAAATCACAAAATACTGTATAAAAATTGCTTGCATATTTATTTTATTTTTGGTGAAATTGTAAGTGAAAGAGGTAAGAAATATAACTTTGAATTAGCTCCATCAAAAGATAACTTCGTTCCTTAATATTTTGAAGTAAGCATAAACAAATAAAGATCAAAATTAAATTCTGTTATAAGAGTACAAAAAATACAACAAAAAAATATACAAATAACCAACCACGTTGGCAGATGCAAATGCTTATGCAAAGTCAAGACTATTCACCTCTTTAAAAATCAAAGCCCACGATCAAATAACTAATCTTGACATCGATAGGAAGACAGCCACTACTCTCATCAGACTAAGAACAAAACATCATAAAAACATGAAAATTTCGACAGATAAGACTAGAAAATATCAAAACTGTGGCAACTGTCTCAATGTGGAACTGACACCATATCATGTTTTTAACTGCCCTGCAGTCGCTGCAGGCCTTCACCTCTTAAACTACCCCACAGAAGAGGATTTGTATTCTTTTGATGCCATAGAAATAACAAAAACTATTCAAGCACACCATGAAATATGATTCTATAGAGGATACGACACCAACCATATACAAATATATTTTCATCGAACAGTTTGAAAAATACATGAGTAAAATTTTCAATATTACAGAAATAGTGCAAATTTCACAATCTGCTCCAAGCCAGCTCTTTTGCATGATTTCAAGAAACTTTCTCTGAAAAAGATAAGATGTTATAAATGAGTCACTTCTTTTATAATTTTAAGACTAGAAATGGGTAGATACCAACTTTTTGGTATCAGTTACAAAGTGATACTGGTACATTTAAGTACAAAAAAACCTATTATAAAAAAACTTTTCACACTTTTAGTATCAAGTACACAAAATTCTTAATTTATTGAGGAGAAGAAAAATCATTAGGTTAATCCATCAGTTGTTGGGTTAAATCTATTATAACAAAAAATGAATTTTTACAAAATGTATTTTAAGATGCATTCGCTTCGAATACATCTTAAATATTGCTTGAAAAAAAAACATGAAATCTCTTATGCTTAGTGGGGAAAACAGAGAGGAGTTGAGAAGGTGATTTCGT